AAGGAAATGGAGAAGAAGAGGTTTGACAGGCTCACAAACTGTAACTAAATGAGAAATGAGGTCATGACTGAACTTCACGAGAAAGGGTATAATCTTGAATGAAGTGCAAAAGAGTCTCTATAAAAATTTGAGTAATATAGACTGTGTATCGGTGTAAGTATTTCTGTCGAACGTATCCTTTTAGATAATAGCGGAAAGTACAAAATTGATTTATGTTCTACGTTAGCATTGATGTTCTTTCTCTTGGGGTAGCTTTTGTCCTGTATTGTTGGCTTGGTTCATGTTTTGGCATAAACCCTTTGGAATATAACATGATGCGTTATGCTCCCATCACAGATAACCCCACTATCTTAAGTTTGAAGCTATTGTTTTTTTTTTAAGTCTAGTGGATGTGTATTAATCAGAGCCAACATCTAAAAGAGTTACATCTTTCAACAAAATCACCATTGTATTGAACTCTTAAGAGCGTTAATACACATAAAAAGAAGAAAAAGAAAGATGGGATATGATTTTAGTTCATATATCTATAGAACAATGGGATAATAAGTAACAAACATGGTAATTACAACACAGTTTCAATTCCAGTCCACCATGAACTGACAATCACAGACTAGTTAATTCATCAGCCTAGTTTTACCGGAGTTGCTTGTCGTATGGCTTTTTAATGGCGTCAAGTAGAATCTAACCATACCATTTCTGAGGTTGTCCGGCGAGTAAGTCCCAAGCTTGTCATCTCTCTGAAGAAGATGATTCCGTTTGCCTTCAACGCCATGAAACAATCCGTCTTCACACGAGCTTCTTCTTCCGGTCTCAACACCAGTAATAGAGCCATGAAACAGACCATCACAAGAGCTTCTTCCACCTTCAAATCCATTAACAATAGAAGCACCACGTAACATACCATCGCAGGACTTTCTCGCACTAACGCTGTAGCTTCTTAAGAGTTTCTCGCTAACATCACCATTGGTTTCCCCTTTAGCCACCCTCCTAAGCTTCAACAGAGACTCAGCTAGAGAACCCTCCATTGCATTTCCTCCAAGTTTCAAACTTTGCTCGGTTTTGATGTCGTTCTTGGCCACATCGGTTTTCCTCTGAATCAATCCCCAAAAGTTCCATCCTTTACCCCATTTCTTCCCACTCTTCTTCAACCCAAAACCATCTTGCTTCTTCACCTCACCAGCAGCAACACAACCAACAACTTTAGAACCTAACTCCAAGCTCTCCGGTTTGTAATTTTTAATTGAATACCAATTCGAATCCCTAAGTTCCCTCTCCGTAACAAGCAACTTCGCTCCATGAAACAAACCAACAGTTTCAGGTGATACCTTAGCATTCGAAATAGCTTTCAATTCATCAACTTCAAGCAATCCATGTCTCGATGATCGATCGAAGCTTCTCCTCCGCCGTGAATCCAAGTAGTAATCCCTCGTTTGAGCTGTCCCACCTGGGTTGTTCTTCTCCTCTTCGTCTTCTTTCTCACCGGTTATCTTCTCCGGCGAGGCTTTAACATCTTCAGTCACAGAGGACAAAGGAATCAGCTTTGGATATGTCTTTCCAATCAAACATCCATCCCATGAAGCTCTAGGCTCCTCGAACGAGATTCGACTTGCGTCGAGAGACAACCTAGGATCCACATCACATGAGCGACGGCCGAGACTGTTCCCGGAATCTGGAACTTTCCCATTCTTCAGATGATGTTTGAGTGAAAATTTCTTAAGTGTCCTGCTAAAAACCGAATCTTTGCCATTGCTCTTCTTGATTTGTTGATTTCTCGATTCCAGATCTATTAACTCCTTCATCGTCTTCTGCTCTCCATCTTCGATTTCTTCTTCAACGAGTCTCTTACCATCATCAAAACCTCTAATTTCTTCTCCGTCTTCTTCTTCTTCATCATCCTCTTTCAAATCCGGTACAATGGGGAATCGAATCGAGCTCTGTAGCAGCTCATCATCACCGTCGTTAGACCTGACATCACACGACCTGCGTCGTGGCTGGTCCAAAGCAGAAGCGGATGCGTCACGAACGGAGTAGGAACGAACACGGCGGAGCTCAGAGGAAGCTGAAACAGAGGAAGAGAGAGCTTCGATGGTGGAGAGACGTTCACGGAGACAGGTGGCACAGAAACCGGTGGTGGGTTTGGAAGTAGGATGACGGTGACAGACGGCGGAGTGACGACGGCGACGACGCTGGTGGGTTTGGTGGGTCATAGCTCTCAGGGTGATGGATTCAGTTCAGTGAATGGAAGAAGAGAGTGAAGAAGTTGAAGAATCTGTCAGTGACATTTTTAGGATCTCGAGAAGAAGAAGAGAAGAGAGTGGCGTTGTCAAACACTATAGGAGAAGAGAAGCCCCTTTCCTTTCCCTTTGACCATCTGCATTGGGGGATCACCCGCATGATCTAAGCATTATTTTAAATCCAAAAAAATGGGTAACTGGGCTTAAGATCAGGAACTGGGCTCTTGACCTGGATCTGTTTTTGTGGGTGTTGCGGGGTGACGTGGCATTTGGGCATTGGTTGGAATATTCAACATATTTGGAATAAATTTGGATAATAAACTATGTATTAATTAGATAAAATGTTTTTGTGCTTTTATTAAGTAATATGTTTGTTTGTTTATTGTTATTTATATTTTTAATGTTTTTTTCATAAATATTTAGTATTGTATTTTCACTTTTATTTTCAGTTTTTCATAAATTTGGCATTTGCAATTTATATGTTATTTTTAAATGTTTTAATAATTGTAAAATCTTAATTTAATTTAGATTATTATATTATTAAGTCTTAAGATCTTACACATGTTCTCCCACTAATCAACTTCTAAACAAAAGATCTAAACACATGATCTTACATTATTTTAACATTATATTCTCTATAAGAACACTCTCACATGATCCCCCATTGATGATGCCCTTAAACCTTTTTCTCACATTTTATTATTTCTTTATGCTTTTTTTTAATACGTATTTATATTTATTTCTGTACTTGTTACACAGTTAATGAAAATACAGAAATGAGTTAATGAAAATAGATAGAAAATATTAATGTAATGTTTTAGTACAAATATCAAAGAAAAAATTGTATAATTGTGTCACATGAGAGTGGCAGAGAGAATCAAAGGAAGAAAGTGTACAAACACATCCCATTATGGGCCTGACCTCTGCATTTGTAGGACGAACATAAAAGGATCTTAATTAGTGAAAATATTAAAATTTAAGAAAAATAAAATTAGATTGAAAAATGGTGAAAACACGTGTGCACATTTGTTTCTTTTACCTTGGGGGGTAATATTTGGCTGCTTTCGTCATTTCTTTGGATTCCCTTCGAATCAAGAAATAGCTTCAATGTCAACTTTTGTTATTCTTTATTTGGTTTGGATATATTATTAGAGTTTTGATTAGTGGATTGATTTTCAAGCAAGAGCACTAAGAGTTATTTTAGTGCAACAAGATGTAACATTTGAACAACACACTTTACTTTTGATGCAACGACCTAAACTAATTTTTGAATTAAGTGAGTTTGTTTAAATGTTACATCATTGTTATAACTGAAGTGTGTTATCATTCAAAATAATAATTTCATTATTTTTTTTTGTATAAATAGTTATCGTAAAAAAAAAAAATAGATAAAGCACTCTTTATAGTGGTTTTGAATGATAATTTACTCTTGTTTCACTTATTATCAGTACTATATTTTAACTATGGCATTTACCTAAAATAAAGGAGTTAAATTTTCTCTAACGTTTGTGGACAGCAATGGCTGGCGAGTGACATTGAGATTCCGAGTTACGACAAGTTCCCAAAGAGTGTTGTGTTCTTATATTATAAGAAAAAAAAAACCATAGCAGGTCCCAAAAATACACAGTAGTAATTGTTTTTGTCTCAGTGTGATTGTACCGATTTTGTTTTCTTTCTGGTAAAAAAGATTTGGAATTTTCCGACGACTTTAGTCCACTAGAAGCAAGTTTACTTTTACGGTGCTCAATCGAAACGTTAAAAGAAAAGCAACCGAAGACAAATTTATAACATGGTAAAAAAAAAATGTTTCTGGGTGTAATTTGAGCCCAAGGCTAATATTTGGGCCCAAAAGGAAACGAATAAGCCTTTTAGGAATGGGTCTTTTCTTGTGCACTGTAAGGCCATGCCCAATGGCGCATTTTCTACTCGGGTGTGACTATTAAAGTAATCGAAAATAAAAGAAAAGTTGTTTCTTTCCTCACACCCGAATGTAACTTTACACTCGGGTGTAAGACACTCTCTCTCTTTCTCTCTTTTTTTCTCTCTCTCTCTTTTCTTTCTCTCTTTAAATTATAATAATAAAAAAAATTTTACACCCACACTTACACTTACCCCATTGTGGATGCTCTAATAACGAATTAGTCGTCATCGTCTTCTTCAGTCATCTTCTACCGGAATAAGCAGTAGAAATATTAATCAGTGCTGAGAAGTCAGAACAGTACAAATTTCTATGGAATTACATGGAAATCGAGTATTTCAGGTTATTCTTCTTATCATTTCGGTTTTTTCCAAGTTATGTATCCTTTGTAATCTCTTTGTATTGGGAGATCGATGAGATCGACCCTAACCGAGCCTAGATATCGAGATTTGGTTTGGGTCAATCTCACCAATCTCCCAATACTTTACAACATAGTATATACAACTGGACAAATAACTCAACTTTTTTTCTTTTGTCACAGCAGGTCAGTCTCATTGCTTATGTAGTTTACTTTTTGGTATCTTACTCATGCATTTTTTGTAAAAAGAATTTCAACATATCATTTGAATTGAGAGTTTTTTTTTCTGTCATCTTTTAGATGACTTGTGGCTAAGCATTTTGTACGAAAGACTCATCTTTCATCTTAAACTATATATGTGGACCTTCTTCTTGCCAGCTTTGACGGACCACATTCTACTTGTTGCTGGATCATCTACACAACTTGCAGCTTTGATTTAAATAGAGAACCATCATTGTTTCTGACTAAATAAATATCAGAACCACGATATATTCTCCTTGTCAAGAGAAAATCTTGAGTTTGTCTCCTCTTCTGATTCTCTCTACTGGATTGAATAAAAGAACCCGGTCAATATTTCCTTTTTCAATGTTCATGTATAAAAAAATTTTATTTTAGGTGCAACGTGAAGGCTTCTTCTACATTCAATCCTCTAGCACAGAGGTATTGATTCTGCTTCTCTTATTACTTCTTGAGTTCTAAATGCTTTCTTGATGAGTTTAGGTTTGCATAAAGTTTGATTAAGTTTTAGTTTTGGATTACTTTAGATCTCTGTTACTTAGTCAAGAGAGAGAGATTACATAGGCATGCGATTAGTAATCTTTTCTTGTCTCCATCATCCTTAGACTATAAAGGTTTTTAATATCAATGAGTCGTTTTCTACTCTCGAGTCGACTCTTCTTGTGTGGAAAAGTCAAAACTATACAAAATACTCAGAATAACATCATTTGCTCATTTTCATTGACTATGAAAATAGAATAACAGCAAAACTTGCAAGACCCTGCCAATCAATATCTTTGAATCGGTCTACAACACATTAGAGAACATATATTGTACAGATAATAATGGGTCATTATGCTTATATTATATGCACAAATGTATCTGGCGTTTAACAGAAAGAAAAAGAAACATACATGACTGCAACATACTTTCTTTCTTGGAATTTGGTCATCAGAAGTAATATTCACTGCCTTCCTATAACCATGTCTATAGACATATGCCAATGAGGAGCAAAACCCCAACGCCTCTCCGCTTCTCAAATGGAAAGCATCAAAAAGCTCATTCTGACTATAGTTGGAGTGATGTAGGTACTGGGGAGAAGGCGAGGAATGTCTCCGTCCTCGGTGCCATCAGAAGGGCAGCTAAGAAAGTCTTTGCTATTATTTTCTTAGGACAACAAAAGTTCAAGCCCACAGAATGTAGATCTGATCCTGGAGAGAGCAGCACGCTTGACAGAGAATCTACATGTAAGTGTATTGGAGCATGATTGCTTTGAATCTTTTAAGCTCTGGTGATGTATGCCTACCATTAAGACAAACAAACTTGAGGGTCTTTCATGGATGAGATATATTTTTTATGCATCTATGCTCTCTGTATTGCTGTGACAATCTTTTTAATCTTGTATATGTGCAGTATCAGGCTGGACTGGCTATTCATCACCAAGCTCTTTTGGAAGGTCAGCAGAAAGAAAGATTTCAGGTCAATATCGTTTTTCTGGTTCAAGATTTCAAAGTCCTGGGAAAGATTCTTCTTCTAGCAAAAGTTGGCTCCAAGGCCCAGTTATATTTTCTTTTGGGGAGCTTCAAAGGGCAACTGCAAATTTTTCATCGGTTCATCAAATTGGGGAAGGCGGTTTTGGAACTGTTTTTAAGGGAAAGCTTGATGATGGAACTATTGTTGCTATCAAGCGTGCAAGAAAGGTAGTGATTAAAAATCCCTTTCTTGGAAAATATGTGGATAAGAGATTGAAGTAGTTTCTTAAGAATAATTCGGAGAATAAATGATCTATAACTCAAAATTCTATGGCAGAACAACTATGGCAAAAGCTGGTTGCTAGAGTTCAAGAATGAAATATACACATTGTCGAAGATTGAGCATATGAATTTGGTAAAGCTGTATGGATTTCTTGAACATGGAGATGAAAAGGTTATTGTTGTTGAATATGTTGGCAATGGAAACCTACGAGAACATCTAGATGGTAAGTTGCAAGAGGTACTTCCTTCTTATTCTTCCACTTCTATGTGTCTAGAGCTAGACGAAGACAAGTCTAGTCTCTATACTTTAGAGCATAGAGAAAGACTCCAAATGAAATTATCTGAATTTAGAATTCTCAACTATTTTTCTGCTATATCAAAACACAGGTTTAAGGGGTAACCGCCTTGAAATGGCAGAACGTCTTGAGATTGCGATTGATGTATCTCATGCATTGACCTATTTGCACACATATACTGGTACTCTTGTCATATCATCTTCTTTGTTGCCTATCGGTGTTACAGTATAGCTTAGTGTGCCAAGATTTTATGCATTAGGGATCATTTTATAATGCAGATACTCCAATAATTCACAGAGACATTAAAGCATCAAATATTCTCATCACGAATAAGCTTAGAGCCAAAGTGGCAGACTTTGGCTTTGCTCGTTTAGTTTCGGAAGATCTCGGGGCTACTCATATATCGACTCAGGTCAAAGGATCTGCAGGCTATGTGGATCCAGATTACCTCAGGACGTTTCAACTAACTGACAAGAGTGACGTTTACTCTTTTGGTGTTTTGCTCATAGAGCTTCTCACTGGAAGACGTCCCATTGAGTTAAAGAGACCACAGAAAGACCGACTCACGGTTAAATGGGCAAGTAACTTTCTCTTTTCCCTTTCACCATAAGCTCGAGATAAATCTTCTCAACTATTAAATCAGGAGAAACTCGTTTCATCTTGCGCAGGCATTGAGGAGACTCAAAGACGATGAAGCTGTTCTCATAATGGACCCGTTTCTCAAGAGAAACCGAGCCGCTATTGAAGTGGCTGAGAAAATGCTGAGACTGGCGAGCGAATGTCTTGCCCCGACGAGAGCTACACGTCCAGCTATGAAAGACATTGCGGAAAAGCTATGGGCTATAAGGAGAGAGATGAAGGAGACGATGATATGTTCCTCTGCCTCTAATTCTTCGTGTTCTTCAACAACACATAGCTTCATTGGTCGTGATTCAGACAGATTTGCATTGCCGAGGATCGAAGACAACGAGAATAGCATTGAGTTACTCTCTCCTTGATGATATCAATTTGTGAAACATGTTGCTGCTTCTCATTTGAAGAAAAATCTTTACTTAGATGAATACAAATATACATGTCACTTAATTTTCTTTTGCTCTTGTATAAATATACAAATAAGTTTTGCTTAGTTTCGGGGAATATTCTTCAAATGAGAAAAGATGGATAGTAGTCTTAACAGTATAGTTTCAACTTTGTGGGATTAAGATGATTAAGCCATCAAAGTCAACAAAAGTATATGTAAAGTAGAAAACGATATTGAATCCCATAAACATCAAATCACAACCATTCTCCAGTTGGCTGGCAGTCATTACACAACAAATCCAGAGAAGATGACATTGACGATGAAAGATCACTAACAACAACAATCCACAAAAAAAAAAAGATACAACACAAACACAAAACCCTTCTTTTTGTATTATATATAAATTTACAAAATAGACTCTTCATGTCTCTCAAGCGAATTTAGGCTTAGGCAAGGCTGAGCCACCAAGGCCGCTGCTGCTGCTGCCCCCGTGTGGTTTCCGTTTATCATTTCAGGTGCCATCCACCTATATGTTCCAGGGTCATCAGCCAACATGTCACAGTACTCCTCCTCGCACGCTATGCCAAAGTCAGCAATCTTCAAATGGAAGTCTTCGTCGATCAATACATTTTCTGGCTTAAGATCCCGATGAATTATGTGTCGTGAGTGAATATATTCCATTCCTCTTGCAATATCTAGAGCAAACTCTATAAGCTTTTTCAAAGGAAGAGACCTATTCTCAGGCTTGTGCAGAAAAGATCTTAAAGATCCTTCAGGTAAATACTGCGTGAGGACACAATATACAGGCGGATCTTTATACGCTCCCACAAACTGTTTTTAGCACACATATAAGAGGAGAGAAGTTAACAAAAACGGAAATCATTCCATCTAGACTGACATAACAATTAACCAAGAGAACATGACGAGAGAGGAGAAATCACCTTTATAACATTCGGATGAGTCAATCGAGACAAAAGGGTGACTTCCTTGGTAAACTGTTTCTCTAAACGAGCTCCCAAGCATCCATTATCGTCATCATCAGGTACAGTGATAAGCTTCACGGCAACAGCTTTATCTTCATACTTACCATGGTATAGCCGGCTGTATAACCCATGAGCAAACTTAAGCCCAAAGAACAACTTTGACATATCAACACGGAACTCTTCAGAAGCTTCTACAGCACTCACTCTACGACCAGTATTATCAAAAAGCTTAGACCATCCTGTGTCCTTCTTGCTCTTCACCCTCTCTTGAATTCTCAGAGTGCCAAGATCTCTGATAGGACCGGATGGAGACCGCAAATTAAATGATCTCTTTTCAAAGGAGTTTTTATGAGATAACTTAGGCTTCATTCCCTTTTCCGATTCCACTCTTCTTGGATGTGGCGTAGAAAATCTCTTACGCTCAGATCTTGCTTCCTTAAACACATCAGGAACAGCCATCTGAGGCGAAGGAGAAACAGATCTATGTTTATTAGTTACAGGGTTTGTCTGTATTTCCGAATCAACAACATATACATCAGCTTCCAAACTCGAGGTATCTTCCCAAGTCTGTGAGTTACTCGAAACAAACTTGGGATCCGATGATGATGCCGACGAAGAAGATGATGATCTCTGGGGTATAGTTTTCAATCCAGAAATCTTATCTTGGTTTACCATAAAAGGGAGAGAAGCTAACTTTGATGAATTCAAACGATAAGAAACCGTTTGAGAAAACTTAGTCCTCCTAATCCAAGAAGTAGCCTCTTCATCCATCTCTAAGCTCGAAAAACAAACTCACTTATTAATATAGGCGCTTGAAATGCTAAAAGCCTAAACCTTTTATCAAAGACTAAACAACCAAAACTCTCAGTTTCTCCAAAGTCCCTAAGCAAACCCGTGAATACGAATCAGATGACTTGCTGCAATCTCCAACAATCTCATTTCCACGAAGATACACAATCCCTTCAAAACCATCGAAGCCCCATTTCTCACCTTCAACCATTAATCAACAAAATCTACAAACCAAAAAAAAAAGAAGAAAACTTTACTACGAATACTAAAAACTCGAAATTTCTCCAAACGTCCCACCAAATCGCCGGAAATCCTGAATTACATGCCTCTTCCTACAAATCAAGAAGCAATACTCAGGAAACCAAATACATAGAAGCTATTGAGAACAATAATGAGGGTAAAAGATCGATCTAATCAACAAAATTAGGAAACTAATTAAGATTTAGCTAACCTGAAACAAACGGAATCACAACAAAAAACTATGAAGCGTCGTGTGTTTAGAGGAGAAGAGAAATCTCCAAGTGAATCGGAAATCAAGAAGATCCGGCGACTTGAAGCCGGAGGAAGAAGGAATCGAATGAGAAAATCGAGAGCTAAACCATAAGACGTTTTTGGATTCTCAAAGACCTTTTTGACGAATCCAGACCTCTTACGCCTTTTTAGATGGATTTTATTTTTCTTTTTTATTTTCACAGATAAATTCTTTTGGAATATTAAGAAAATTACGTTAAAACGACAGCGTATTAGTCTGTCTGTCAGCATCTCTGATATGCTCTAATTATTCCGTCTGATAGAGAAATTCAATTTAATTTAATTTTTTTTAATCAAATATTCAAAATAAAATCTAAAGGCCATAGGCTTGCTTTCGACTTCGGCCCATTAATAATAAATACTGGCCCAAATAACTCTTGTGGTTGACAAGAAGCTTCACTAATCCTATATGATAAAACAAGCTCTTGTGTTTTTTAAAAGAACGTAATTTACACAAACCATTCTAAACAAGAAATTTAACTACATAAACCATTCTAGATCTTATTCTCAACATTGGGGTAGTGGTTAAACAGTTGTTACAAAACATTTTAAATTAAGACTGATACCGAAAAAAACAAAAATTAAGACATGCAAGTAGTTTAAATTAAGACATGCAAAATGTGGCCAAAAAAAAGGGTTCTGTGATGGCACTGTTTTACATTATGTATAGGTCGTTTAGCTAAAAATCTACATTTTGTCCATTTTAATTATAAAATTTTTTTTTGTGTAAATGCTACGTGTGTGTGGGTGGAGAAAACAAAATGGCCAAAATAATGATAGGAGAAAAATAAAAGAGAAAGAAAGATTTAAGAGGTGAGTCCAAAAGATTGGTAAAACACAAATGCTTAACAACAACAGAGTCAATTTTTGGGGACACCACACATCACTTTGTCTCCAGACCTATTCATGTCCTACGCCTTTGGACTCACCCTTTCCTCTTATATCCCTCTCATAGTTTCATCGTATCCAACACATATCATTTCATGATTACTAATCTTGTCTTCCTTTTTCTTTTCTTTGTTTAAAGGTGAACTAACCAATAATCAATGTGCATGCATACACATCATATACATGCATTAATATTTTATATCACTAGCTATTTTTCGAATATTTAGTAACTTTGTTGAAAGATTTGTACATAGTTCATATCAGAGGAAGATATACTAAATTATACACAAATGGCCTTTCTGTTTAGCAAATATGTTTTGTATGTACGCTTAATGGTTTAAACTAGCGAAGAGTGGAATCAAATTGGCTGCGACAAAAGGAAAATATTTGATAACATTATATTTCTAAGATAATTTTCAAGAAGTACCAACCTCTGGTCATCATTGTTTCTTCTGAAACACAATACAAAGGTTAGTATAAAAGAATCTATCAAATAATGGGAGTACTGTATGTCACTTGGAAAGCTTAATTAGAATAACTCTTCAATTGCTTCCACTTTTGTTTTAAGTGTATGCATGCATGGGTTATAAGCAAGTACGAGGTATATAAATAATTTTATTCTTAGGTCACACTTGCACAAAATTTAGGGTTAAGAAAGTTTGAGGATGCGTTGACGAACTTAATTATTTCACGGGAACTAGGTTTAATTAGTGAATATCATGCCTATACAAAACAAGAGAGATACAGAAAGGATACACCATTTGATACAATCATCTAAGCACGAGAACGCATCTGCCGACTGCCGCCAAATGAGCTGCCGTCTGAAGAGAATTGGACACAACCTTTTTT